GCAACTTGCTATCCTCCTGCCTCAGCCTCCCAGAGTACCCAGGATTAGAAGTATGTACCACACACCTAGCTCATATTGTTTTTTGTTTTGTTGGTTTTTTTGAGACAGGGTTTATGAAGTTGAGACTGACCTGGAACTCACTATGTAGCCAAGACTGGTCTCAAACTCACAGTGATCCTCCTGTCTCAACCTCCCAAGTGCTGGGATTATAGGCATAAACCATCACACCCAGCTACATATTGCCCTTTAAGTGAAGCACAATTTTTCCTTTTGTACTGTTCAACGGAGACTCACTGACTCCCTGTGTCAAACATGCATTCTTATCCCCAGAAAATGCCAGTTCCTACCTGGTATTTTAGACAGTGCACTAGCTGACTTCACAATGACTCACTTACGCCTACAACTCACACTGAGAAATGGTGCTGGGATTTATACAAAGGTCTCCTGATTTTAAATCCTTGTTTTCAGTAGCCTAATAAATGCCATTTCTTTAGTGGACAGAACAAGTTGATGGTCAATTAGCATATCTGGCTGGGCATCATTACTTCCAGAACATTCCAATCATATGTCCCCAAGTCACCTTGAAGCAAGCGCTGTCATTATCCGCTTTTCCCTCTCAAGTCTCTAGCAACCAACCTACTGTCTCTATGGATTTGCCTATTCTGGATGTTTTGTATAAATGAAAAATAGTGTGTGGCCTCTTATGCCTGGCTTTTTTCTTGGCACATTGTTTTCAGGGCTCATCTGTGTGGAAGCAAAGTTCATTTATTGTCATGGCTCGATACTACCTCGCTGTATGCTTACTGTACTGTTTATCTACTCATTAGTGTCAATGGCAACTCAGTTCCCACTTTTAAACTATAGTAAAAAAAATGCTGCTTGGAGCACTAATGTAAAAGTTCTGTGTGAACCAGTTCAGTTCTCTTGGGTATACACCTAGGGGTGGAACCGATGGCGATAAAGGAACTATGTAATTGAGTTGTCAAAGTTTTCCAAAAAGGCTGCACCATTCCACATTCCCATGAACAGTGAGTAAAGGCTCGAATTGCCCCCTACATGTTATTTTCCCAGTATTATTATTAATTATTACTATTACTGCCATCTCAGTGGGTATAAACTGCATGGTTTTGAGCTGCAATTTCCCAACAATTAATGTTCGCCATCCCTTTGTGTGCTCACTGACCATTGGCATGTTTTGGAGAAATGTTCATTCAGATCCTTTGCCCACTTTTAAAGTTAGTTGTCTTTTAAGTGATTTATCATCTTGGATTCTAGACCCTAACCAGATATATAACTGGAAGATACTTTCTCCCATTCTGTGCTATCTTTACTTTCTTAGTTATTAATTTTGACATCATCCAACTTACCTTTTATTTGCCTACTTGTGCTTTTGGTGTCATACCCAAGAAATAATTGCCAAATTCAAGGGCATGAAATGTTACATATAAATGTAATTTATTTATTGGTACCAAAGATCAAACTCCGGATCTTGTGCTTCCATGGCAGGCACAGTGCCACGAGCCAAATCCTGGCCCTAAATATAATTTAAAAACTAGACTTTCAGATTTTATTTCCTCCTAAGAGGGCGAGATGCATAAACAAAATTCTTTTTGTAGTTTTAAGTGAGTCAGAGCCTCTATTTGGTGTTGAAAAATTATTTTTACTAGGGGACAGGAATGAAATATTAATTATTCATAAATTACTCCAAAATTGATGGCTTATATAAAGTGCATTAAATAACCTCTACCTATTATTACAGTAATCATTATAATTATCCTGAGATTTAAAAATCACTGTTCTGAATATATAACAAAATAATACAAGTTTGGAATTCACGATTAAGAGAAATATATTTAAAGAAGAGACAGAAAGTGCCACGGTGGCTTTTCTAAGCCTGTTCAGTTGACAATGTAAAGGATACTACTTATACCTCCAGCCAAGAGAAGTCTCCTAAAACCTGGAAACAGAAACCTTCATTTCATACCTTGCTAAAAACTTTATTATGTCAACGTACATTCAAGAGCTAAAGACATGGTTTAACTGATGTTAGACCAGATCTTTGGTCCATTTTGATTTTTTGGTTCAGGTTATTTTATCCCAGGACTTATAATTGGGAACTCCAGGGCCATGTACCTCTAAAAGCCCATTCTTTTTCCACCAGAATTCATTGAACACCCTCCAGGTAGAATTTCAGATATGCAGACCACCACTTACGTTTGTACAATCAATGCAGCTCAACTGTATCAGACACCCTTTGACATAAAGTTATTGTGGATCCCCAGGTTATTAATTTCCAGACTAGTAGGTGAGTGTCTTGGATAAAGGGGACCTCTTTCTAAGTTTACCAAAGGTGTAGTTATGGGGCAGTGGAAGGGTATTCTACATCTTACACATGATAGAGGGAAGTGTTTCCTATCTTTGGCACTGGATTCATCAGGTGTTAAGTTCTGGGGAACCAATCTGAGATGCCCAGGTTATTTTGGGCAGCTGTCAGCTGTACTGTACCCATACACACTGTCAAAATGACAGTAATACCCATATACTGACACACACATGTACCAATCAATGACTTACAAAGAATCCCTGCTCACTGTGTTTGAAGTAAAAACATCAGCACCAATGGTCATTATAAATAATTATGTAAAATATACAGATTCCTCAATAGAAAAATGAGAAATCAAATTCCCAGAAGAAATTCAAATGGCCATTACATTTAAGAAAAGTTCAGTTTTACTAGTAATAAAATGAATGTAAAAATAAAACAATGAGCTATTTCTTCATTTACTAGACTGGCCAAAATAAAAGTGCTGGCAAAGGTAGGATAAGATGACATTCGTATGTTGTGGATGGGAGTGGAAACTGGTGTGAGTCTTTCGGCAGTAGACAAAACGTCAAACGCACATTTCTTTTGATGTAGACGTTCCATTTCTAGGACAACACTTGTTGAGCACAAATACATAAGCAGGCAAAGCTTTGCGTACAAGCATGGTGACTGCAGTTGCACTGGCAGTGCTGAGATACTATAAACATTTTTTTAGTTTTTTCTTTAGTTGTGCTGTCAGAGCTGCCCAGATATCCTGAATCAATTCAAAACTACCTTAGGACCATTCTGATTTTGGGGAAGAATGAGAAGTTACAAGGTACTAGATCCAGTGAATAAGGTGGATGAGGATACACCTTACTGTTTTTATGAGCCTGTCTTTCCATTAGATGGCACCTGGCAAAAGCATTTGCTGTATTTTTTAATCACACTTCATGTAAAGACACTCATGAAAGAGGACTTCCAGAACTGCTTCAGAACAATGGGACAAACGTGCTTCAAGTGAGGCAGAGTATTTTGAGGGGAATTAATGGCAATGTCTTTTACTGTAATAGTTTTTAAAAACTTCAACATACACTCTATTTGTCAGTCCTCAATTGTATTTCAATTAACAGCATGTTAAATATAGGTTCAATAAAGTATGCTCAGGGTACCAGATATTTTTCTTTGAAATCCAAGTGGTTTTCAGCATATCAAAAACTCATGAATTATGGTCACTTCATAGAAGCCCAGGAAACTAGAGATTATTTTGGACTCGATATAGCTGAAATTTATACCTAATGACACACACACACACACACACACACACACACACACACGTTTAAATTCTTGGCCCAAAATACGCACTGGAGGAAGGACCTTGTTTTGTTGACAATCATGACACAAAAGCATCCAAGGCCCTGAAGAACAGCAGCCTTTTTGTCACAGCAATCCCTGAGCAGTTCTTTAAGCCTGAAAAAATATTAGTCATCATCTAAGCAGAATCCAGAGAATTCAGCTTTCCTGGCAAGCTCACACAGTTTACCAACCTTCTGAAGAACACGAACAAGAAAAGATTACATTTACAGAATAATTTCTCTGCTTCTGGCATTGCTCTGTCCTTCCACAGAGAGCGGACACTATTTAAAATTCAGAAGGCTCGTGCCTGGTTTCTGCCCTTTCCAGTACGCCGCATACTATCAACACTCCCATTTCTTAGCCTAGAAATGTGAGCACCAAAATCTCTGCCAACTCCCTTCTCAGCTGATGCAAAGCCAAAGTGTGGTCACATCGCATGAAGACCTTTCAGGGATGTGAAGCCCTCAATGAATGGGAGAGCACTGCAGTGTGAATGGGAAAGCATGTTAGTATGACTATCACAGTGTGGCTTTGAGAGTGGGAGATTTTCAAGGATGAGCCCACACTGATGGGCTTTATTTCTTTTCTTTTTTTTTTTTTTTAATGAGCTCTGTTTTAGCAGAGCTTTACCTTGTTTTTAAGGACTTGCTTTAATTAAATTTTACTGTACACTGTTGGCCACTTCTGATATAAAGTGAGTTGGGTGCAGTTTTTCTACACTGGCATGGATGTTTTACTTAAAATATTGCTAAAGGCCAGAAAATTAAGAATAACTGTTTGACACTGCAGACATTTTTTACATCATCTGCAGTAATAATATGAAACACTCTAAAATTTAGTAAAGACACTAAGAGGCAGGTATTTTGCAGAAAAGAAAACCTTTTATTTTAAACCACAAATAGTCAGCAGGTGGCCACAACTATCCATGTTTCATTAAAATCACATAAAACCTAGGTACAAAAGCACCACTGATTATTGCTCTAGAAAAATTGCATGAAAAATTCAAATGTGCACAGTAAAAACACCACAGTATGCACAGAACTAAACTCTTAAAGCAGGTGCATGGACTGCTCGATCAGTTTTGTACACAGCTTCCAATGTCAAGGTGGTATTTATTTTACTTGATAACGATGAAAACTTCCAAAAAGCATGACAATGAGAGGGTAAAATGTCCATCCTTACATATTTTGTTTGCCTACTAGTAGAATCCTAAAAAATAAGCATTTACAAAATACTTGGTAAAAATAGCTTTTTTAAAAAGGTGTCCCAAGAGGTACATAAAATCAATTGTGACAATTCATTCTCGCTCGTCATCTACAGATTCAGTATTCTGTGCCTGTGAAAAATGAAGAAAAAGAAAAGATGCAGTTATTACTAAAACTATGATAAACAACCAAAGAAAATCTACCCACCAATACGCACACTTCTAATATGTGTTACTTGGCCGTTCTAATGCACAATCTACTTCAACACTGGGTAAAGAACAGACAAGGCAGGAATATATTTTGGTGACACTCAGCTGCATTTATTGCTTTCTGCTTTTCAAACAACCACAGACGCCTTACCTGAAACTTCCCACTCTTCATAACAAAAAGTCCCACACCACTATCTGATTCTAGTCACTGCATACAGGCAGTTTTCTACTGCACCCTTAACTCTCACTGTTTCAATCTGCCCCTTACTGACAGTGCTGGGTGGGGAACTTCTGGAGGCTGAGACATTAACAGCTGAGCGGGAGATGTGGATCTGCAATAACATTACAGGCAATAAAGAGAGACATTATGAACATGCTATCACTGGCAGGAGGATCGAGCAGTTTCTTTTCAGACACTGATTCAATCAGTGGGAGATATTTAGGTAAAGTACCTCTTCAGCTTTAGTTTCACCATTTTCAGATGGTGTAGTACCTTCCTTTCCAGCTTCCTGCTTTTCTTCCTTCTTCCCTTTAGCACCTCTGTTAACCTTTGTTCCAGGATCTTTCTAACAGAGATATCAAAGCACAGGAAAGATGATGTTAGATAGCATGGCATGTTGGCTAAAATCTGTCAGACTTCAAACACAAGGTGAACCACAGCAATGGCCACAGTGGTGGCATTCAGGCAACAATGAGAATCCATTTTGCTGTGTTTCAAATGAGTGACCCCAAGGGTGTGAAAAGCTTTCCATCACCTGGCCCCCGGACCACCTGCTCACTAAGAGAGAAGGGGTCTCCATGGAGAGGGCGGCAGGGGGTGTGGCAGAGGAGGTGTGAGGTGTGGGTGGGGTTTCACGTCTGCTCTCCCGTGAGATCCCTTCACATGCAGACTTGGCTTGCCTGGCTAGAAAGCTGTGAGAATGCTTGAAAATGAATGACTGGACGCGGAAAAGTTCCTCATTTTAAGAGCAAGTCACAGAAGTGAGTTCTGCTTCTGAAATGGTTGGTAACATTATACACAGCTTCAAACAATTCACAACAGGGGATGATGCTCTGGAAGGCAGAGTGCAGAAAAGTCAATTTGGGGTGGTCTCCTGATCATTATGTACTTGGGTTTGCAAAACAGGTTATCTGTATGTAATGTACTTCAACGGGCTCGATGTGAGGACTGCATGAGAAAGCCATCAGAACAGTTAGTATTATTTGCTGGTATTAATGACTGCATCGTTATCATTACCATCAGGCTGGTCCTCTACGTGAGGTCCAAAGCCCCTTGCTATGCCCTATACTGGTGGCTACAGAACTGCAGGGCGCAGCCCCAGCCCACTTGAGCTGCCGCCAGCACCCGATGGACGTGAGGCTTCTCATGGCAACCTGCTTCGACTTCCCGTGCCTCACTCACCAAACGGAAAACATTCCTGCTAAATCATAAAACGCTTTATGCTCTGGAACAGTGGTAACCATTTTCTGGTCAGTACTTTTTAACATATCATTAAACATGGCCTTTTCTTGAATGATTTTTTGGGGCCAGTATTATAATTTATTCACTGTTTAAAAATCTAAAGGCGGGAGGAGGAGAGTGTCTCTTACCTTAGTAGATATTTTTCTTGGTTTAGGTTCAGGTTTTGGTGGAGCAGGTTTCTGCAAAGATAATGTGAATTATACAAATACTGACAAGCACAACCATCAGCACCAAAAAGAACAAAAGAGGCCTGCAAAAGACAACCATTTATTCTGAGACTGACTTTGCGCATTCAAAGACTATCCTGTCCTATTTTCAGCATCAGGCAGCAGCATAAAGATGGCAGCATTTCATAACTCTCTTCATTCTGCGTCTGCAGGTAAACAGCAGGTGCAATCGAAAAGCTGACTCATTATTCCCTGATCCAGAATACAGCAGCTCTCCGGGAACAAGTTTAAATTTCCATTACTGGTGTCCCTGTACTTCTTTTTAATACAGCACAGCAGCAAGAGAAGACTTAGGGCTCCAGCCAAAGGACTCAATGGATTTTGGTTACACTGGCTTTCTCAAATCAAAGCGCAATCATGGGCAAAGCGCACCTGCTCAGGAAGCCTACCGCCTAGGAAGCAGCCGAAAACCACCTTTAAGTCCTTCCCTGGGAGATACAGATTTCAGGCTCTTTAGGCAAGCATCTTCCCATTTCCCTCCTCTTCAAAACCAGTTCAAGGTGAGAATCTTGCCCACCCAGACACTGGGCTCATCTGTCTGTAGTGTTCTTTGTTTTTTATTAAATACCACAATTATAGTGATATTTCCACTGCTGGCTTTTAAAATTTAAGTTTTTTTTTTACAGATATGATTAGCCAAAGAGCCCCTTGAAAAATTATCTTTCTCTTGTCTCACATGGGCCCCTGCACTCCCAAGAGCAGAGCAGAGCCAAACCCTGTGGCTGGGGTCCCCCCAATCCCCTGGAACTTCAGACAGCGTCACCAGAGTGTGGGGCCGGCAGTGCCTGGAAGGTGAAGCCCTGGGAGCTTTCCAGGCACTTTAAGGCAAATATTTCTGTCAAAGAGTGAGGAAAAAGTAAGTGCACATCTCTCCCAGCACTAGGAGCTTGGCTTTTAAATAGAATACATGGGCCAGCCTCCCCTGTGGATGAAACTGCATGGTTTTCCCCAGCGCCTTTAAAGGGTTCGGCTTCATTTTGAATCTGGTCCTTTTCATCAAGCGCATAAAGTGAAACCACAGACAGTTATTCTAGAGGACCCGCTGTTAAAAATTACCTTTCAAAAAAACTAAAGGAATGTTTTAAACTAATCCTCTTATCACCCTAAATCTATACCCAGCTTCCTAAATATGGCAGTTTTCATAGCTCCTAAGTTTTCATGATTTAAAAGACCTTTTATTTCAAGTTCTGCCACATTATATTAATATACACGTGTTTTCCATTTACAGCAAATAATATTCTTTTTATATTACTTCCTGTGAGACAGACCTCACACCCTGACTCAGTAGTCAGTGCTTTGACAGAGCCAAGAAAGGGGATTTTTATAGTCTGTAATCCTGCTACCTCAGTGGAAGGGACTTACATTGTTGGTTCCTGGTGCTCAGGAAAAGCATTCTTTTAAATTTTGGTTTACACCTGACTTAGAAGGACTGTTCCCTCCATTGGCTAAGTTTTCATGGTGACTCTGGTGCTGCTTCCTCGTGGGACTCATGGAAAACACTGGCTCAACCAACCCAGACTCAGCTCGATCCAACTCTGAATTTGGGGACGGTCCTAACACCCATTTCTGAGTACCATGGTGAGCTGAGGGTGGAATCCACACTTGCAGTTCCTGTAATACCTAATATAGGGAGACACTCGGTCAACCAAGATGGTAAGGCCTCTGCTCCTCTCAGTGGTCAGCTGGGGCTGCAGGAATTTAACCAAAATCCTCCACCTGTCAGGCTGTTCTGCTTGGAAGAACACAAGAGCCAGCAAAGAGCGCACCAGACTGGCGAGAGAGAGCTGGGGTGGGGTCATGGATGAGGCCTGGCCACACCTGTCCATCCCAGCTCTAACTGTAATTTTCATCTCTTCCCTCGACATGGGCCACAGGAGTCGCCAAGTGACAAAGGTCTTTTACAAAGACATTATAAGTCTGAAATTGGCAAACCCTATGGATTCAGACAACTTTCAGAACATTTGACAATGGAATAAAATGTTCTGGATTATAAATTGTGGAAAGAGAATCATAATCTGCTCACCACAGCACATCACATACAGAACATGAAGGCTAAGATGCGGCTTAACGAATTTCCTTTGCTTCAGAGGCGTAGCAATAGTAAGTGACATCCTGGGCCTCCTATTTTTGGCAGTGAGGCTGGCCGCTATGTTCACCACCATATCTGATTAAGTGAACTGTTAGGCAACACGGGCCAGACATGGTAGAAATTGTAACCGCAGGAGATTTTCAAAGAGAAAAATCAACTCATAGGAAATTCCAACTTCATGTTCCTCTTGCTGCTTTGCTCTGGACAAAGGGAGCATGTATTCAAAGACGTGATGCAAAGGGATTTAAGGCACTCACCGTGGACAATCTGGCAGACCGTCTCGTGGGCTACAAAAGGAATGGAGAAGAATGTATTTTTGTAATTATACGCAACAAAACTGATTTTTCAAATTCATTCTTGTTACACCTTACTTTGCTGAAAGAATATAATGCATGATTCCCATCACATTAGCATAATGAAACACACCCCGGGGTCCCCGGGCAAAGTGGTCTTTTTTTCCAGTGCCAGGAATTGGACTCGGGACTTTGCTACACCCCTAGTCCTTTTGATTTATTTTTTAAATTTTGAGACAAGTCTCACAAAGTTGACCAGCCTGGCCTAGAATTTGTAATCCTCCTGCCTCAGCCTCCTGAGCAGCTGGGATCACAGGTATGTGCACAAAGTGTTTCTAAAGAGGCATACACTGTTCAAATAAGTGGCCTTTCCACATTCAGGGTGCGGTGGCTAAGAAAAGGAAAAGGAAGATGAATTTTGGCGTTAAATCGTAACCTTCTTTTGTGACAAAATAATGACATCAGGAACGCTGAGGTTATTGAAAAAAATGGCCTCCAGTCTGACTCTTATTTATTATAAACTGTATAAACTGTACTAACTTTTGTAAGTTAATAAAAGAAGAAACACATAATTACATAGAAATCACAAGAGTTCCCCATGTTTCTGCTATGTTGGAATAAAATGACAAAAAAATCTTACGCAGTTAATGAGATATTTTTTTTACACACTGATCTACTAAAGCTTATGTTTAAAGATATAACTAGAATAAAAAGTTCATTAATCTTTTCTTCTAATTTCAAATTTTAGAAAACTGAGAGGAACTACAGAGATTAGACATTAATATTAAATGTTGAGGTTGATTTTTTTTTTTAGGAAATATTTGCAAAGGAGACTATGAAGAAAATAAAGAAGAAATGTTTTAGGCACTTTAACAATGGCACACAAAACTGATAGTTTACTACCACCTAGCAGAAGCTGGTTGCCCAAGGGACTTACGTGCTAAAATTGTAATTACTTTTCTTTAAAAATGTTCCAGGAACAAATACCTCTGTCTGTTTTATTTACTGCTGTATCTCCAGTAGAGTACTGTACTATCCAACATGTACAGTATTTGCTGAATATAGGAATTCAAGCTTTTGCCTAATTCTTACTTATGCAAACTATACCTCATTACAACAGCTTAAATGTTTCAAGTACCTTTTAAGGGGATCAGCAAAACCAGTAGGTGGGAACCTGGGGCACGACTGTGTGGAATTGTGAAAACCCCTGAAATCACCCTAGGCCAGTAGGTCAGGCCAAGCTAAAAGAAATATTTCTTTCTATCTCCATATCCATAACTTTCTTGCTGAACACAGAGAAGGTAAACTCTGGTCTTTAAACTACAGAAGAAAATGAAGGGCCAGAGCCTCCAAGAATAATTTTAACCTCTAGGTCTCAAGGCAAGATCAGAGTTGGACTTAAGGCCAGCCAGCAGATGTGCTGAGCACAGGAGACTGTGTGGGTTCAGTGGCTGACTGGGACCCCTCTGCCCAGAGCAGGAGGATGTAGGTCAGTGGGCGCAAGGCTTGACCTGAAGCTCGGAGCAGGGTGGGCACCGTGTTCTCCACAGGAAACACCACGATGCCTCAAGAACTACTAGCAATTTCCCAAAAGCAGCAGGCAGAACAGTGCCCTCCTGCACCGTCACATACATAGACCAACTGCCTCAGGAACATAAAGTGGACCAACAAGAGACAGAGAAGGGAGGGACCCCATCTCATTGCTTCCTGCGCAGCGGTCCACAGGAGTGGTCCACAGACATGAGCAGGCTCTGCGTCCCTATTGGTCGCCTCCGACTCATGTCTGCATCCCTGACTGCACGGCCATGCGAAAAGGCCCTCAACTGCAATGCTCTTGCTCCTGTCCTCTCCTCTCTGTGATGCCGCCTAGACACAGGAGTCCTCTCCTGTCCGTGACATCGCCTAGACGCATGAGTAGGCGAGGCCGAGTGGCTTCAGCAAACTCTTTAGACTTCCAGAGATTCCAGTCCTGCACTGCTTGGCAGGGCTGAAAGTGGACTGAGCCAAAGGACTTAATGCAGACCAGTACAAGAGCGCTAAAATAAAAAGCATAATATAGAAGCAAAGTTTACCTTTTCCCTCTACAGGCTGTCGAAACCAACCAGTTTCTAAAAAGCAGATCTTTTACTGTACAATCATTTTATGACTTCCTATATAAAAATTACCACTCTTGCTTCTATGCCATAAAAAGACTTTTCTTAACATTTCCTTTCCTGTAACCACAAGAGATTTGCTTTTCATGAAGACTGAGACTAACCTTTCACTCAGCCAGCAGTACTGATTATGCATGCAAGTGTGGACGCCTTCCTGGAAAGTTCCATCAGCTTTCACAGCCTTAAAATCTATAAATAATAGGACTATATTTATTGGATATGAAATAGACGAGACTGCTATTTTCCCTCTTTGAACCACTAGGATTTAAAGTAATCATTTAAGGCCCAGGCTGGCTGGATAAGAAGGGAAAAAAAGATACTACATTTTTTTTGATTTGTTGATTTAAGTGTGAAATTTCAGGAAAACTGCTCAAAAAGAAAACTGCTCAATGAGAGAAGGAAGGCTTTTAGAATGACAAATCATCGTGACAGGGACAGATAAGACTGTAAGGGTTTGTCACTGTTTATAGGTGGATGGTACATCAAAATTACCCAGTAAGCATTTGCTGATTCACTGATCATCCTCTCTGCTGGAGGAAATTCCACTGAAGGCTACTCTCAAAGTCACGGCACCTCTCACTTAATGTCCCAGCTGCAGAAGCAGCATGCAAGTCTAATCCCACAGTGACAAGGGTTCAAGAGACAGCTAGATTTAAAAAGAATCACAGGACTCTGCTGAACGTTCCTTCACACATATGGGTCGTTCTGCTGGAATCTGGAAGGATTCTTATTTTTACAAGATGTCATCCTGCTTCTGAGCCTGACCCTGTAGTTGCAAGCAAAACCCAAAAGTCAAGTTGCTTTTAAAAGCAAGAAGTAGAAATGGCCTTCTTTTCAAATCTAAGTAGCAGGGAAAGGCACACGACAGCACTGGCTGGACAATAGAGAAGACTGAGAAATGGAAACTGGATTCCCAGATTTTTCCGACTGCCACAAAAGGCACATTCAGGCCGAGGACTGTAGATCAGGAGATCTGGGTATCTTGCCCGCAATACTTGGAAAAATTATATTATTTCTCTAAGAACCTGATTTGCTCCAGTTAAAAGAGGAATAACATTTGCCTTTCTCTATAAAAAACAGCATTCTCTGGCACTATTCCCTTTCCTTGCTTTATTTTCCTTCACAGCACGTATATCCACTTGTTTTATTTTATTCTTACCCTTACCCACTAAAATGAGTTTTGCCTCTCTAGCTCACTGTGATTCATGGGGCCTAGAATAGTGCTTGTTGTATTAAAGGTGCTCATCCATTTTTGTTAAAGAATGAATCTGGGGGTTGGGGGATAACTCAGTGGTATGGTGTATGTACCACTTAGCATTGTACAAGGCCTTGGGTTCAGTCTGGGGTGGGGGTGGAGGAGAATGAGGAAGAGGAGGAGGTGACAGTGGCAGCTGAGAGTAATGATTGTCATATATTGTTTTGGTCATTTATTGTTCAAGTCTCCTGAAGTACTGCACTCTCTGAATGCCCTTCAAATACCACAGTAGTGGTGCAGAGAATTTTCGAAAAGTATCCCCCTTTGTAACTACAATCTGTTCATCACGGTCAAGGCTGTGCATAATCAGTGACATAACTGGCAAATTCAATCTGAATAGAATTTCAATTCAATGGAAAAAAAATCAACCAATGAATCAATGTAATCTCAGACAAACTTCATTGTAAGTCGCCAGCTAACTTTTCATTCTTCAAACAACTATGTTAATGTTCTGAAGACTAAGTTTTAATATGATCTTGGTTTAATCATTTTAGAATCTTGTCTAGACTTCTGTCAATAATATACAAAAGATATGTAAACTATACAAAATATAATAATAAAAACTAGTAATAAAAGTCCTAAAAGTGCACACATAAGACAGGCATATAAACAAAAACGTATCTTTTATATATATTCTAGTTAGCTTGATTTGCTTTCAGTGTACAGAGAATGGGAAAATTTTCTGTTATCAAATATCTATTGCACACAATAGCTTCTAGGTTTCCTGACTGATTTATCAACTTAAATGTCAGTCCTTGAGGCAAAACCCAAATGCTTCTTTTGGTACCCAAATTTAAAACCATTTAAGGTTAGTTCCATTTAGTCAACTGTCTCAAAAATTGCACCTTGCATTTTTCAAGAAAATTCAAGTATGTATCATGTTTTGGTTGGTTATTAGTTTTTTGTTTGGTTCTATCATTCATGTGGTAGCTTGACTTTGGATTACAAATATCATGATTTTTCCCAAACCCTTAGACAGTGAATGCTAGGTACACAGATGGGAGGAACAAGCAGTTTTGTTTTGGTTTTAAATTATTTCCTTTCAATTCCTGTTAAAGATTTTCCATTTGCCAGACTAAATTTTCTTGTACCAATTTTATATAGGGGTTCTGGTATCACGACAGACTTCTCTGAATTATTAACCACAACATGAACCACCCAGTCTGGAATTGGATTTTTCTGGGCCTCTCTCATGACCCTTTTTAGTTTATAAGTGTAAGGGTAAAGCTCTATGGAAAAAGGAATGGCCTTGTCATTACAGACACATCTCATTTCCTACTTTTTAAGACCATCTTCCTTTAGACCTTCACAGTATCTCTTCCATGTTCTAAACCCTTTGAAGGTTTCTGTATTTTAATAGAAAGCATCTTTAAATCATCGCCTAGTTAGCCCAATATCCTAGGAATTTTCCTAATTAACAACAACAAAAAAAAACCCTTAATATTTTGACATATTGTGAATCCTTCCATGACTTCAGAGATGAATCCTTTTAGCTGAACATTTGGGATTCAAGGAGCAGAAAATTTATGACATCAACAGCCTTTCATTTTCTTGCTATAAAAGGTGGACCTTGTTCTCCTGGATACATTTACCTCTTATCTTGCTCTTTGCTCAGAAGGAATTCTCGGTATCTACTTGACAGACAGGAGGACAACACGTAGAGACATAAACAACACAGTAACTGGAAAATACCTCATAAATATACCACAAAGAAACTTACCTAGACAAAGTGAGTCTACACCAGACACTTGTCTCTAGTTTATATAGTCTCAACAATTTTGTTTATAACAGAATTCATTCAGATGCAGACCAATGGTAACAATATTAAACATTCAACTTAAAGAACTAAACAGAAAATACTAAAGAGTAAATATACTTACTTCCTGTTTAGTTACTTTGGATCCATCTTTGCCCTCTGTAGTCTCTGAAGACTAGAAGGAAAATATCTCAGTGAATTGTATTGAAATTGGAAATCATATATTAGAAGATTAAATTATATAAAACTACTTTGATTCCTGGGAACAAATATATCAGCAGAACTTTTGCAAGGAAAAATAAGTTTGTGAAATGATGTTTTACACACACACTCATATACATCTGCTGCATAACTGCTTTACTTTTATAAAATACAAATGGGGAAAGAACAGATTTGAGTCCTCATTCTCAATGTCCATACATCCTCAGCAATTAACACTGATCTCAGGTGAGTCCAGCACAACTAACAAACAGGACTCAGCAGTCAGTGGCAGGGATGCCTGAGATTCTCTCACTTGTCCACTGTGTTACCTCGCCACTTTCTTCCCTTAAGATAAGGCCAGGATGCTGGCAAAGGTGAGGCCAACCTGGGCAGGGGAATTAGCTGAGTGGTGTCTCCTCCTTTGATTCCCGCCCGGGAGCACACACACAAAAAAGAAAAGATGAGGCCAACCACAAAAGCCCATTTCCATCCCATATTTGCCTTGCTCAAACTGCCAGTCCATTTCTTGATGTCACTTGACAAATTCACCACAGATTACTCTTTTCCATAATCAGCTTCAGCATTTCCACTATGCTCCCAGCTTCAGAGTGACAGGCAGGGGCCTTGCCACTTCCGGCTGCTTTGTTTCCAGATTCCCATCCTATCCATCATCCCCTGGGGCCACAACTGCCTGCTCCCGTGAAAGCTCAAACCTGACAAAGGCTGCGCACAACTGTTCTCCTAACAGCTTATAAAATATACTTTTGGTTTGTAAGACATTTCATATATGCCAATACATATTCCTATGATTAAGAGTGAATAGATTAAAACAGTTCAGCTAATTAGAAAATTATTTAACACAGTTCACAAACCACATGAGGCTACATGGTAAATACTTTCTATGGCACAAATGTGCAGCTGATAAGAACAGAGCTCCCATCAGAAAAAACACAAATAGCAAACTGACATTTAGCACATTTGGCTTAGCAAAATAAAATAGCTATGCGGTAAAGCCTCATCTGATAAAACAACAAAATTTACAAGGTCATAAAAGCCCTTGCTTGATGGGGTTGGTGACATTATAAATTGATACAATCTTTTCAAAGAACAACCTGGCCATATCAATGAGGCACACAGGGCTAATCAGATGATGACCCAGTAATTCTATTTTTTGGAACTAGGACTCAAAAAAAAAAAAAAAAAGGAATTCTTTGTAAAAATATGGTTATCATTTGTGTTACTTCTAATATGGAATAACTAAAAACAATGTACACAGTCAGTAAGTAACAGAAATATTATTTAAACTATGTAATGTTATGGGATTAACAATAGACTAAATACGTAACATGCCTACATGAAATAAGACAAAATTTAAAAACGGAGACTAAAACAGTAAGCAAAATACAAGTCCAAAGTATATGCAAATTCTGGGGAAAAACAAAAAATTCAAATCAAAGGACACAGGGACCCTTCTTTAGGACCTTTCTGGAAGCTATCTGTTACAGCTCAGCTCGTCCCATTGGCCGGAACCTCTCATTTATGAAGCTTTCTCTTGTTTCCATAACCGACCACTTTTTCCTCCACCATGGAACCTTCTCCAGCCTGAAAGGAAATAGCTTCTCTTCGCAGGAAGTAACGGGGAAGTTTGCTTTACAGAAGCCATATTACAGACAGCAAAATCTCGGCACTTCTGAGCAGATGGAGATAATTCTTACGTGGGCCACTGGGCTTTGCTTACTTTCACGGTTACAAACTCAGTACTCTGGCCACACACCAAACCCCTTGATTGTGTAGGAGTGCTGACCTCTCCCTCACACCTGTCACTCAGTAAATTTCAGTCCACAGTGCCCTCTACCTATAATTGATTCACTGTTAAGCAAGCAGCATGTAGTTATCAGAATGAATGTGCGTAATAACATTGTTTTCAGTCTTTCAAGGCAGTGGACTAGAGACAGGCAATATAACCAAGAGACCAATCTCCAAATAATGATCTAATAACGTTTGTATTAGAAGTAAATTATTTAAAAAAGAAACCTGAAAAGACACTGCACCAAAAAAACAAAAGGTCTGATGAAAATGTTAACACTTTCAGATGCACATGAGATTCTAGATGTGAAAAACTGTAATTCTAGACAAAGCAGTTTTTTTTTGTCACTGACTTCAAAAGGGCTTTCTATTAACAAGTAGATACACATTTACAGTCAGGAACAACCAATATTTACCCTGGAATCAGTTGCTACTGCAGTATGAATGCAGGATGTGGACTCAAGACACCTGACTCTACATAGAGGGTGTGTGATCAGGAGCAGGGACTTGATCACAGAGGCTCAATTTCTTCACCCGTGAATGACAGATGATAACAACATCTAACTCAAAGGGTCCTGGTTATGATTAGGTGAGAGGTTGGAGAAAGCATTTCATAAAATGTGAGCTGTTATACAGGTGTTATGCAACAGAAAGACAAGATCTTAAGGTGTCTTCTGAATTATAAAATATGAAATTATATTACACAGAGCATTAATGTTGAACATATTTCCTTACATTCAGATTTCCTGCAAACTGCTCATCTGTTTTTCGGAGGAATAGGTAAACTGCTTTGGAAAGGCTTACCATTAAAGCTGTCTCATCTTCTCCACCGTAATATTTAGCCACTAGGCCAGAGAGAGGAAGGAGGAATACATGGTGTGAAACAGAAGCCCCAAGCTTCTAGCCCAACAGGCTGCAAGGAACGACAAAGAAGGAAAACAAAGACCTGGGGGTGGGTACAGACCACCTACATCGTACTTCAACCTTTGAGTGGGCAGCTGTGGAAGGTGAAGGGAGGTAGGCTGCAGGGAATGCAGAGGCCAAGGTCTCCTGCACAGCAGGCTTTGCTAATGCAGGCTGGACCAAGCGGGGTGAGAGCCATGGCCAAGTAAAATGTCCGCCACACAGTGAAGGCTCCCTCAGCTTGCAGCTGGCCTGCGTTCTGAGTTGAGAGCCCACAGAAGGTGGGGTACACAGAGTGGCCAGATGCATGGCAGAGAAGGGGCCCTGGGGAGGTCTCGGCACCACTGAGAGCTGCTGATCTGAGGGCTGGTCAGAAGGCAGGTGGATCATGAACACTCGACGACTGGATTAGGAGAGAATTGGCTGCATGGGCCTGAATTTCAGCCTGAAAGGGTTATTTTAAATGAATATGGCTGATCCACAGCAATCTCAAAAGGGCACGGAACTTCAGTTAGCTACAAGCCAGAAACCTCTCTAACTAAATGAAGCTGAACAGCTTCCCTCTCCACAGGATAAGTTGGAAGGCATCGCATCACTATGTCATTAGTTGCTATCTTTGAGGCTCAAGAGCCCCAGAGGGATTTGCTGAGTCCTAGATGAAGGCTTATAAATTTGTTCCAGATCCTAAGAGCTCTGAAGAGTGACTGGTAGACCCTACTGTCTTCCACTAAAAAGAGAGCTTGTTTTCCTGAAGAGATGGGGCATGTCCGAGAGCTCTGCGGCATAACTGTTTTCTTCGCTGTTAGAATACAGCCTTACAGCTGGTCGAATACACAGGCAGTGTGGAATGGCAGGCCATGCATAAAGGCTCAGACAGGAAGTCTATCTCCACCTGCCCAGTGTTGAGGCTGACATGGTCATGATCTCTAACGGGTAAGTTTTTCATCAGTTTCTTTTTTCTTGTTAGAGGATACTCCTGCTTGCTCTGGCATACTAAACCAACCCTAGGCTTTGTTTTCTGTCACCTCTATCATGTCACATGAAGGAAAAATAAATCTGGGGAGTGGGGAATCCTTGGTCAATCACATTTTAAAGTAACAGGATAAACAATTCAGATGTAGCTAATGCTTTTATAGCAGGACACTACTCAAAAGAGCCATCTCAAATTCCAAGGACGTAGAAATATGAAAATAAAAGGCCACTGAAAAATATGCTAAATAAAATGAATTCAAAACAAACAAAACCCCAAATATCCATCATCAGGAGGTTGAAGACATTATGGTAGATGACAAAACAGTATGTGGCAGTGAGAACCAATGGACCATGGATATGCACATAACTTGGATAAAACTCATGAGCATGATGTTGGACCCAAAAAGAAAGTTATATTTGCTCTAAATAAAATTTAAAGACACATGTAAGCGATAAATGTACTTACTACAAAGCAAAGAAATAGTAACTATAAAATCAAACAGGTTATCTTTGGGTGAGGAGAGGTAGGGTGATTTGACTGGGAGAAACAAAGCAATCAGCAAATATTTCTTAAGCTGGATGATAACTACATTATTTATTCTCACTCAAATCACACATATATATAATATATAGATACTATGCATATTCATGTTTTTATTAAAATATCTGATTCATAAAACTATAAGAGATTCTAAAACAAAATAGGCATGAAGAAAAAAATTAGTAGTTCATTTTTTAATTTAAAATTCTGGAAAAAGCAATTCATTGAAATGAAAGACTCAAAAGCATAAACTCTAGGAAAGGAACAGTAGAAGAAATACTACAGAGGACTTAACCTAGAGTGCAACAAAGAGAAAAAAAGAGATGAACATTGTGTAACAAGGTTAGAACACACATGGTTAACTGAGGAGCTTCACATCTAACAGACTTTTACAAAGCAGAGAGCAGTGGTAGCAGCAGAAAAGCAAAGATGTAATGCCTGAGAATTTCCCCAAACTGAAGTCATGAGTTCCAAATGAAGAGCTCATATCAAAGAATAAATAAAAATACTACAACAAGACTTAATGTAAGGAAATGACAAAGGGTTGGAAGAGTGGAGAAAAACTGTCAACCTAGAACTTCATACCCAGCTATCATTCAAGAGTCATGGCAAAATGAAGCCATCTCCGAATACTTATGTTAAGAATTCACTACCTTCTTTTTAATACAAGTCTCTATAACACTGCACTGAAGGATCAAGTGCAGCCATACTAAAAATAAATCTAGATGGAAGGCAAGTACTTAAGAACTGTA